AAACATTTGCCCAATCTAATTTTCAATGCTACCCAAGAAATAGGCTCTGATAACTATCCACTCATTTGCAAGTCCCACTCAAATCCAACCCCTCTCACTCATATATTTATCCAACCTAAATTTGAAACTACCCAAAGTCCTAGCCTCAATAACCCAACTAGGTAGACTGTTCCACTCATCAACTACCCTATTTCCAAACCAATACTTTCCTATGTCCTTTCTAAATCTAAACTTGTCTAATTTAAATCTATTACTGCAGGTTCTCTCTTGGAAAGATATCCTCAAGACCTTATTAATATCCCCTTTATTAATACCCATCTTCCACTTATACACTTCGATCATGTCTCCCCTCATTCTTCGTCTAAACAAGTGAATGTAATTTAAGAGTCTTCAATCTTTCTTCATAAGGAAGATTTCTAATGCTATGTATTAATTTAGTCATTCTACGCTGAATGTTTTCTAACGAATTTATGTCCATTCTGTAATATGGAGACCAGAACTGAGCTGCATAATCTAAGTGAGGCCTTACTAATGATGTATAAAGCTGCAGTATAACCTCTGGACTTCTGTTGCTTACACTTCTTGATATAAATCCCAATAATCTATTTGCTTTATTACGTACGCTTAGGCACTGCTGTCTTGGTTTGAGGTTGCTGCTCACCATAACCCCCAAGTCCTTTTTGCAATCTGTATGGCTAAGTTCTACATTATTTAACTTATAAGCGCTAGGGTTATGGACACTCCCAAGCTTCAGAACCTTGCATTTATCTACACTGAACTGCATCTGCCACTTTTCTGACCAAGAGGATTGTCTAAATCCTCCTGAAGTTCCCTAACATCTACGTTTGAATCAATTATCCTACCTATCTTTGTGTCATCGGCAAATTTGCTCATATCACTAGTAATACCCTCATCAAGGTCATTGATATATATTATAAACAACAACAGGCCTAAGACTGATCCCTGTGGTACGCCACTTGTTACAGATCCCCACTCGGATTTAACCCCATTTAAGCATACTCTCTGCTTCCTATTAGTGAGCCATGACTCGATCCATGACAGCACTTTTCCCTGAATGCCATGTGCTGCCACTTTCTTGAACAGTCTTTGGTGGGGAACTCTATCAATAGCCTTACTAAAATCTAAGTAAATAATATCAAATTCTTTATCGTGATCAACAGCCTCAAAAGCTTTACTGAAGAAAGTTAATAAATTAGTTAGACAAGAACGGCCTCTCGTGAATCCATGCTGAGTATCATTAATCAGATTATGCTTATCCAGATGGCTTCTTATAATCTCAGCTGTAATCGACTCAAGCAATTTGCCTAAAATTGAGGTCAGGCTTATTGGGCGGTAATTTGACGGTAATGAATTATCCCCTGATTTAAAAATAGGAATTACATTAGCCAACTTCCACATATCAGACACTACACCTGTTTGAAGAGATAAATTAAAAATATTAGTTAATGGTTTACAGAGTTCCATTTTGCATTCCTTAAGAGCCCTTGAAAAAAGCTCATCAGGTCCCGGCGACTTATTTTGCTTCAGTCGATCTATTTGTTTCATAACCATTTCACTAGTGACTGTGATGTTACATAATTTATCTTCTTCAGGCCCACTATAAAAATTAATTACTGGGATATTGTTAGTGTCTTCCTGTGTAAAAACCGAGAGAAAATAATTATTTAATATTGAGCACATTTCGTTCTCTTAGTCAGTAAGATGCCCATAGTTATTTTTAAGGGAACCTATCTTATCTCTAACTTTTGTTCTATACACCTGGAAAAAACTTTTTTGGTTAGTTTTCGAATCCCTGGCAACTTTAATTTCATAGTCTCGTTTAGCTTTTCTTATCCCCTTTTTAACGTCCCTCTTAATGTCAATATACTGATTCATAAAGTGCCTCTCGCCTCTTTTGATACGCCTATAAATTCCTTTCTTATGCCCTAAAAGATATTTGAGCCTATTATTCATCCATTTTGGATCATTTCTGCTTGATCTAATTTCTTTATATGGGATAAATGTTCTTTGAGCAGCATGTATAGTGTTCATAAAACTGTCATATTGATAGCTCTCTTCGTTACCCCAGTCAACAGATGATAAGTGTGCTCTAAGCCCATCGTAATCTGCTAAGCGAAAATCTGGGACTGTTACTGAGTTATCCCTACTATCATACTACCATTCAATGCTAAATGTAATTGATTTGTGGTCGCTAGCACCAAGTTCCTCTGAAATTTCTAAATTATTGAACAACTGCTATCAATTACCCAAATGAATTTCCATCCCCCTTCTCCTCAGACAATGTCATGTACTTTTGAAAACCCTCCATGTTGCTATAACAAACTTATTACTGCTTCTGAAGCTTTTATGCCCAAGAATTTTCTCGACATGTGTCTTGCTCAAATTTTTATGCCACAGACTAGACTGGGTGTGTTAACCTTTGTAAAGAACTACTTGTTTTTTCTTTTTTGACAGGACTAGGCAGCTGTGCCCAGTATACGCAATAACTACTGCTTGGTATCTGTGGGGTCTCCAATATACAGTACCTCCTATCTACTGACTTGGTACAGTACTGTAAAATGCACTTTCCAAGAATAGGCACATTCTCACATTTCTGTTGTTTTCCCTTCATATCAGCACCATTAGACTGACTCCACTTATTTCAGTGCTCATAGAGTTTATGAAAGTATAAAATGCAAGAAAGCCATAGAACTATGTACCAAGCAAACAAAATGTGTGACCATGATGTAGGCATGTGTTCAGTAGTGGGACTAACTGTACCTACATGATTCAACTTGTGTAGGCCACCTGATGCTGACAGATATTTGCATCTTAAAGATGTGTACTGGGCATGTTAATGACAGCAAACTGTAATTTTGAGCAAGAGATACAATGTACAATTCTGTACACTGCATTATCATAGTTGGCTTATGAGCAATACACAGTATACTAGCCTATATAGTCTGTTTCTGGATATGTTGGCATTTACAACCTCTCTTCATTTTCATTTCTCTTCATTTTAGCTCCTATTATAGCATCAAAATTTTTTTATCTATGAAAAATAAGAAACAAAGGAAAATATTGTCTCAAAAGTTTCTACTCTACCAGGAAAAAGTAAATCCTCGATTTAATGGAGTAAGAGGGAAGAGGGGCCAGCTGGCTGGTACTAGTGAGTGCAGTGGATAATGAAATTATTTTGTCATGATTTCAAGAATAGTGCACACTTCTCTATTATTATTATTATTATTTAGTATTATTATCATTATCATCATCAAAACTAAGTGCTAAACCCCACACTTCTCTAACCAATGTATTTTGTCCATTTTTTCCAAATCAAACGACCCAATGAATATTGTTCTGGATTTCCTAAGTCCATTAAATCGAGGTCAGTTAAATGAAACGTTTACTGTAAAACTTGGCAAAACACACATAAAAGATTCTAAAATAAATTCAATAGCACACCATTTTTGTTTCCAATTACTAAGAAGTGTTTTAAATCATGCAAACACTACCTCCTTGAATCAAACCTAATTTTCTATTTCCCTGGCTTTAGCATTTCTCTAGAAATATGATATATGTACATGTCAATATTATCATTATGCCTAACACTGAATGAGCTCTCAAATTATCAATAGATTTTGGTAATAAATACAGTGGAACCTCGGTTTTTGTTTGCCCTGATTTTCGTTGAATTTGGTTTTCGATGAATTTTTTCGTCAAAATTTTGTCCCAGTTTTCGTTCATTACCTCGGTTTTTGTCGAGTTGACAGTGGTCTGCCATACCGAACATGTCCGCCCATGCCCACACAAAGCATCCCACATGTTCTAAGTCAATCTGGCTTTGTTTCTCATTGGTAGTGGGTGGTAGTAATGGTGGAAGAGGGTGGTAGTGATTGTGATTGTGGTAGAGGTTAGTAGTGGTTGTGACTGTGGTAGAAGGTGGTAGTGATGGTGGTAGAGGGTGGTAGTGATGGTGGTAGAGGGTGGTAGTGATGGTGGTAGAGGGTGGTGTGATGGTGGTAGAGGGTGGTGTGATGGTGGAAGAGAACCTCTCCTCCCTCTCCCCTCCTCGCAGTCTTCCATACGCCAAGAAGAGTCTTCAATAAAGGTAAAAGTGATGTTAAATGTTGAGTTATCCATTTCATTAGTCTTTTATATTTATTTCTCATTGTTTTCTGTATGTAAAACTACAGTTATTCTCTATAAAATGTATTTTTTTGTTAATACTTTTGGGTGTCTGGAACGGATTAATTGGATTTACATTATATCTAGTGGGAAATATTGATGAAAACTGAGGTTTCACTGTACCAGTAAGTAATTTGTTATACAGTACAAACCAAATCATTAAGATAATGTACAAAACTACCTGAAGTTTCTCTTACACAATAATGCATAAATTTAAACAGCACAAACATTTCTGTTACAAATACAAAACTGTTTATACTTTAACACAGTTTATATGGTATACAGATTTTTAAGGGATTCAAATTTACTCAACTGTTAGTGCACAAATAAATTACAACCTTTATGACCCACTAGCAGTCAACAGGATTTACATTCATACTTTAAGACAATTTCACATATTTTCTTCATAATTCTTAAGCTCTTATATGCCCAGTTAACAGCCCATGCAAGTCCTAAGAAGGAAGATCGCCTTGATGTTAAAGTGATCTTAATCCGAGGAAATGAAGTTACATTACCATTCCTTGGTTCATAATTATCTCCCATTTTCCAGATGCTGTGTGAATCCTATAGGTTTATAATACTTAAAATAAAACTATGTAAGAGTAATATCCCTCCTTAATATAACTAGTATGTTAAGATGACCTTGTATAAATATAACAAAAATACATGAATATATGTGAAAGATATATTCATGTAATTCCAAATTTACTTGTATCCTACAATACACACTAACACCTGCTAAATTTTAAGATCCAATCTGAACTAAACAAAGACATATAGTATAAATGTTTATTCTTTATGTCAGCCCTTCTTACCTGCATGCGTGAGAAAATCTGGTAGAAGGGCCATGAGCAAGAGTACACCATTGGTCGCCCAGTCTTGTTCAGAAAATATCCAAATTCAGGGTAGCCTGTATAACAAATCCTGAATGTCAGGCATATATATATATTTTTACTATTATAACAGTCATCAGTGTTTTTGACTATTTAATGTACCTTTCAGGAGCTCAGTAATATGAACAGAAAAAACAATTAGTCAGATCTCCATTTAAAGGTTAAGAACTAGCTTCAGAAACTAAATGTGCATTTTTATGTTTGTTAAGTGTTTAAGTCCTGTGTCCAAATGGTTTTCTCTCTTTGTACACCAAGTCTTCAACATTATGCCTTAATCTGTGTAGAAAAAAGTAAAAAGAGAATTTCTTACTTCTTTGGTCAATGAATATTCCAATACAAAAGCTACACATTCCAAAGTACATACATTGCTTCATGTTTTTAAACAGTAAAACAAATAAATTTCATAATGCTTCCTTTGCAGAAGAAAAACACTCATACTGTATTGATGAATCCCCATTTGTGAGCTTCCTAATTTGTGTGCTTCAATTACCAAATGTTTTTACTCAAGGGTTTCCTGGGAATTGCTTTGATAATTAGCAAATTTTTCACTTTGCCAATTTTTTTTTTCCTTGGTGGACGACCTCCAAATTGCTTCGTGCACGACCCCTAATCTGCTTTGTGCATAACCCCTAAACTGCTTGGTGAACAATCCCTAAATTGCTTGGTGCACAATCCATACATTGTTTAGTGCACAACCCATAAATTGCTTGGTACATGACATTCTAAACTGCCTGCTGTACAACCCTTATAACTAAAGATTAACCATGAAATTTCACTCAAAATGTGTTCAGTGGGATTCCTGCACACAGATCTCTTTTTTCTGTAATTTTAGAGAAATATTCAGAGAGAGATGTCCTGTCAAACACAAAACCATGTCAAACCTAAAAAATATTTATTATATGAATAATTTAATGTTATTTTCGAGCTCTGAATTCGTAAGGCCCTCTAGGGGCCCAACCCTTGTAAATTCACATATTTAAGGTTTTTACTGCATCTGAAAATGGCTACATGTTTGATATACTACTGTGCTGTGCTATATATGTAAGGTAAATGGAGGTAAAGGAAATCAAGATACCATTTTTCTGGAATGTCTATGTAAAGAAACTGGATTATTAGTGAAAGAAAGGAATCCTGAGGGACAATCAATGTTTCTCACACAACTTGTTGAAGTCTGCCAAAAAATAAAAGTCAAAAGAGTCAAGCACTGCAGTCCAATAAATCCAAGAAAAAGCGATGAGCGAATAGTACTGTAATATCAATTTGGTAAACCCAATACTATACACTCTAGTATTTCGTTTTTAACAATAATAATCTTTCGACCAAAATAAACCACAGGCACTAAGAATTATTTCTTTAAAAATAACAATTGTGTTTGAGCTTGCTTGCTAGTGATAAGGATTACAGGTTTCCCTGAATTTATGCATATTTGCTTTATGTGAATTCACTATTATGCAGCCCTATTTCTATCAGTAATTTCACATGTGTGATATATGTACATTCACTAAAAGTGAGCCATAAAATTCACAGGGTATACAGTAGGGCCCCACTTATACGGCAGGTTAGGTTCCAGGCTACCGCCAGAAAGCAGACATCACCGGAAAGCAGAACACCATTTTTTCCACTTATAAATACATATAAATGCCAAATAACACGTTTACACTAACATATATTAAGTTAACAATACTAGAACTAAGCATTAAAAACAATAAAAAGTAAAATACACACACAATACACTCATTATGTACTTCAAATATTTGTAGTCTTAATGTGTGATAGGTATGGTGGCCCTCCTGGCCAACCTACCCACACATAACATACTATGACTGTTGGTCCCACAATATTACGGCTTGGAAGCCAGTGTCAGTCTCGTAATATTATGCCAAAATTCTAGTGGTTTCAAATCTTGCGGGAGAAAGCTGGTAGGCCTACATATGAGAAAATGGGTCTGAGTGGTCAGTGTGCGCAGTATAAAAGAAATCCTGCAGCACAGAGTGCATAAGGAGGAAAAACAACTACAATCGTGTTTTTGGTTTAAAACACCGACTTTATGGTGTATTTTCGTTTGGTATTTATGGTTGTGTATTCTCGTTTTCTTGTCTTAACTGATAGAAGGAAATATATATTACAGAAATAGAGATGATTTTGAATGGTTTATGAACTGAAAGTACCTGGAAACTGAGCTCAAAGCAGTGGAAATGTTCGATTTTTGCTGATGTTCAAAAGTAAACAAATCACGCCATGTGTCCAATACACATCAACTGGTGGGTCTAACGTGCTTTCACAAATGCGCTGATATTATTTATACTATTTTTACATAATGCAGTAGTCTGCATAAGAGTAAATCTTCTATTTTTTGTGTGAATAAAAATTCAAAGTGGAAAGCAAGCGTAATATAAAAGGGGCCTGGAGACGTGACTAATGAACAGAGAAAACATTATTTTAGTCCTAGGAATGTTTGTATTGTTAATTCTGGACCCTATTTTGAAATTGGCCTTACTCATTGTGTATGAAATTGGCCAAATTACCAATTTCTGATCACTTTCTTGGATAGATCAAATTGGTAAATGGGCGGTTTCTTGTACTCAATCGATAGAACAAATGGAGTTCTAGTTAAATAGCTATGAGTATGGTCGACTGGAAATATGGAATTGTCCAAAAATAGGGCTCAAAGTGGGCAAAATCACTGATATGTAAACATCGCTGAGACCACTAACTTCGCGAGAGCGTGATTCTGTATGTTTTCCATCAAATTTCGTATTTTTGGTGCCATTACCATTGGGAAAAAAATTCTCTATCATTTCATAAGAAAAAATAAGTTTTTTTTTTAAATTCTTTGATACTGAGAGCAAGTTTGTGTAAGTAAGTAAGTAAATTTATTCAGGTATACACAATACAGTTACATAGAATTATCATACATAGCAGCATATGTGTAGAGAACCTAGGATAACCCAAAAAAGTCAGACAGAGTGACTTATTTCCATTGGGGTCCTTTTACCTTATTATTATAATATAAAGGTTATAATATTTTCTTATTATTCTATAATGAAGATAACATCTTATTATCATACTAAAAAGACTATCTACTACCCGAGGGTCATTACGACTATCTACAATACGAGGGTCATTACTAGGGATAAGGTAAAATTTACACGTATTTTAGCTAAAAAATAGAAAATCATTCCCCTCCCTTTCTGTTGCTTCATTCATCAGACACTTTTTGGCAGTCTTCTTGAACTGGTTCAAGCTATGACTGGCCTTGACATTTGTGGGTAGTCTGTTCCATTCCTTTATTGCTGTACAATAAAAGGTGTTTGAAGCCTGGCCACTGACTGTGGGTACTACAAAGTTGTGCTCTCTCCCCCTAGTACTATGATTGCTTTGGTTCCCAACCTTGACAAAATTGACAGCAAGATATTCTGGACACTGTTCGTGAGCAATTTTATAAACATGATTTAGCTTCAGTTGTTTTACTCTGTCTTCAACATTCAGCATATCCAACTGCTGTAATTCATCCTGGCCTACATGTTCTCTTGGTCCCAGCCCCAGGATGAATCTTACGATTTTGTTCTGGGTGATTTGCAGTCTATCTTTCAGTTTTTTTGTCAAGGCAGAGTACCAAGAAGAGCAAGCGTAATCCATATGGCATTGTATAAGGGCTAGACATAGGGTCCTGCGAGCCTCAGTAGGTAGACACTGTGCTTGTCTATACAGGAACTTCAGCCTGGCATTCGCTTTCTTTACTACACTGTTCCCTATCAATTCTCCTGACATGCATGGGTCAAAGGGGATTCCCAGATATTTAACTGATGAAACCAAAGTGATGGACTCCCCATTACATTACAGGGGTCTCGACAGAGAAAGGGTCAAAGCACCTTAGAGCGATAAAATGCATATACTGTACAGTACACGTATTACTTACCTTAAAATATTTGTAGTCTTAATGTAGAGTGAGAGGTGAAAAGTATTTATTTGTAGAAAGTCAGGCATGGGAGGTATGGTAGCCCTCCTGGCCAACCCACCCACACGTAATATACTACAACTAAACACTCAAAACTCCCTAGAGCGATAAAATGCATATACAATACATTCATTACTTACCTTGAAATATTACTAGTCTTACTGTAGGGTGAGAGGTGAGTAAACGAGATAATGAATAAATGAGAGAGAGAGAGAGAGAACAAATAAGTGAGACAGGAGAGAGCCACAGAGTATGTAAACAACAGACGAACACATTTGGGTGTGGTTGATACGTGTTCATTTCCATGTCTGTGACGCTTATATCATACTACAAACACCTTACATTGTGTACACGTTGTCTCCACATTGGTAAAGTAGAATAAATAAAGAGTAACACTCCCATTCTCATGTAACACACCATTTTTAGAAGGAATGATACTCTGAGTGAAGGCATATGAAAGGAATAATTTTCTACAGTTATCCCCAGTAATACCGTTGTGTACGCATTTTCTTTCATGTTGAACTATAGAAAACTTTATTCTTTCTGACACTCCGACAAGACGACTGTAAAAAATCTCATATTAATTTATTCTACTGTGGGGTGTATTTATCATGTTTATACATTATGCAGCATGTTTATTATATAATTTTGAAAAATATCATAGATGGATTATCAAAATGTCTATATTAACGTAATATATGGCATTTAATGTGCCTCAGAGTGATTATTATTGTGTTATGAATATGAATGTGTAAATTCAAGGATTATGTGGATTAAAGTAAAGGTTGGATGTGAAAAGTGGGTCATAATAAGCGTGTATGCACCTGGAGAAGAGAGGAATGTAGAGGAGAGAGAGAGAGATTTTGGGAGATGTTAAGTGAATGTATAGGAACCTTTGAACCAAGTGAGTAATTGTGGTAGGGGACCTGAATGCTAAAGTAGGAGAAACTTTTAGAGAGGGTGTGGTAGGTAAGTTTGGGGTGCCAGGTGTAAATGATAATGGGAGCCCTTTGATTGAACTTTGTATAGAAAGGGGTTTAGTTATAGGTAATACATATT